TCTTCCCAGACTGGTATGAGCCAGGTGGACTCTAGGCATCAGAGCAGAGCGGAAGTCGATGTGTTTTGAGTGACAGGAGGGTAGGGGAGGAGGGCTTGGTGGTAGTAGGTGCAGCTCAGACACCAGCTGACCTTGACCTTCCCTTCTGTCCCCTGCTGATTTGCAGCTGACAGAGGTCAAGGGAGGCCATGCTTGGTACAGACTCTACATTTCCGTAAGGTGTGGGGTGTGGTGTGGGGTGTGTCTATGACAATTCCTTACCAAGAGATACTGATCAGTGGCTCATGGGGTGCCTTACAACGCCCTGTCATTGCTCAGTATGGTTGGCCCATGAGTGAGGACATCCAGAGAGAAGTCTTCCTACCAGTGAATGGATACAGGGGCCCAGGTGGTAGCTGTCACTCCCTACTCTGGAAGCAGAGGCAGACAAGGACTGGGGACCAAAGAGCCCCAAGAGAGAAAGGGCCCTGAATTTAAAGTCAGTGCTGTGAGTCATGTTCCCCTCCTCCACAAAGTAGATCTGTGCTCTGTGGGTGACGAAATTCCTCATTAGTAAAATGGGAGAAATAGTGGTGCTAACCACACAGGGCGCAAGGTAGGTGACGTCACTTCTATCTAGCCTAGGAGAAAACAGGCTCAGTGAGGCCAATTGACTGGCCAAAGGTCACACAGCCAGCAAGCATTAGCAAGACACCCCCCGAACTGCCCATCTCTGGGCACGTCGTCCTATGGAATTCAGTCAAGCTGGTGTCTGTGGTTGAGATGGAGGGAGGCAGAGTCTAACTAACCCTCAGCCCTCCTCACTAAGGCCACAGCCTTGTGGCCAGCCTGACTCACAACTCGCTGCCTGCCTCTCTGCAGAGTCCCCTGTGCACTTTATCTTCTATGCCACTCGCTTGACAAGACCTGAGCTGCTGACAGTTGGATCAGATGCGTGGCTCAAAGGCTTGACAGAAGCACTTGCTAGTAAGGGTTCAAATGGCTTTGAACTGAACACAGAATGACTGGGTTCCTGCTCTGGGGCCCAGGGGGCACTTAGAGGCCCAGTCATGGATCTGTCCATTCCAAGAGGCCAGGCTTGCCCTGGTCCCCAAGTTCTGGCTTTCTCAGTGCCAGCCCAGGGCTTGGGGGTGACTGCCTGGCAGCTTTGGAATCCCCCACTCATGGCCTTTTCTGCTCATAGCTACGTTCCATTCCTGCCCCCTGCCAGGTATCTGTGGCCCTCTTCCAGCCTGGCATCACCCCCCGCCCCCAGACATCCTGAGGTACGCGGACACAGGTAAAGGGAACAGCATGAAACCTTTCCGAAATAGTGAAGAAGGGGGATGGGGTCAGCAGGGTATGTTCTAGGGGTGCAGAGGAACCTACATCCAGGCAAACAGTTCCCTCCAGTCTTTGAACTTAGAACATCGTCTCTCAGATCCACAGGCTCAGAACAGCAAGAGATGGACCTGGCTGGCCACAGCCCCTCCCAGCCCTTGGCCTTGAGTGAGAGGAAGGATAAGGATTGGGAAGACGGGGGCAGGACTGGGGCTGGGACAGAAGTGGAGAAGAGTATTCTAAGCCTGGATGCTAGTGACGGGAAGAGGAGGCCTGAGGATGCCAGAGGGAGGGTCCCCCCAGCCAGGTTCAGTGTGGGAGGGAAGCAGGGGTGACTATGGAATTGAGGGATCAGACCTCTGAGGTCAATATCAGTACTGGTTTTTTGTATTGTTTTTGAGGTACTGAATAATGAACCCAGGGCCTCCCGCATGCCTGGCAAGCCGTTGCCACTGAGCTACACCTCTAGGCCACCTTTCTTTTTTCATTTTGAAACAAGGTCTCATTAAGCTGCTCAGCCGAGCTTTGAATTCACTCTGTACCAGAGGCTGGCTGTGAACTTGAGATCCTCCTGCCTCATTCTCCTAAGTGATGTGATTACTGGCATGTGTCACCACACCCTGCTTGACACCAATGTCTTATGACCTAAGACTGGCCACCTACCACTCACACAGGGTTCCAGAGTCTAAAGCTCTCAGAACAGGGCCTCAGAGATTCCAGGAACTCAAAACTTAAGCTTTGAATGCCACTTCCAAATAAGGGCGTTCTTCCCGTTGCAGGCTCAACAGCAGGATGGAGCAGGGAGACTGGACAGCCAGCCCAGCCTCAGCGGTGCCTGCAGCCTGTCAGTCTTCAAATTAGTATCCCATTGATGCTGTAATTACCTCAACAGCAGCCCAGGCTGCCTTCCAATGCTTCTGTGTACATTTTATCTATGTGAAAGAAACAGCTGGGACACAGACTCATGAGCCGCAGGGCATTGTCAGAACACCCTGGAGATGCTCCTGCCTGGCCTCCCTGTGGCTCTTCTGTGGGACTCACAGTGCTCCTTATCCCTGTTCCTCAAACCCCACAGCTCTGGGCCCTGAAAAACCTATTTTGCTTTGCTGTAAGGGAGTTTAGGGTGTCGAGCTAGACCACTAGAGTCAGGGTGCTGAGTTAGCCCACTGAAGTGAGAGTGTCAGGGTGCTGAGCTAGCTCACTAGAGCATGGGAGTCAGGGTGGTGAACTAGCCCACTAGGGGGAGAGGGTCAGAGAGCTGAGCTAGTCCACTAGGAATGGAAGTCAGGGTGATGAGCTGGCTCACTAGGGTATTGGGCATCAGGGTGCTAAGCTAGCCCAGTGGGAGGGTGGTCTGCAATACCTACTGAGCCAGGGGGTCCTAAGAGATCCTCAGCCTAGTTACAGAATCGCTTGAAATTACCCCAGACATGCAGCCCCACTTATACAATCACCTGGAGGCTCAGACTCCAGGAAACACAGGTGACAGGCATACCTCCTACTGTGGGGGGCTTCCCCATGCCTATCAGACCAGTTAGAAGCTCCTTGTTGGGCCTATTCTTGAGCCAAGCAAAGGGGTAGGGGAAAACCAAGTTCATCATCGAGTGTAGCCTGGCTCCTGGCTGGATGGCCACACTGGGGGAAGCTAAGGGCTTTGTGCTCCCCCTCCACACTGCCTCATAGCTGTCTCTCATGCCTACAGAGCAATGTAAAGAACAGATGTGTGTGGATCCCCACAGCTGGCACTGCCAGGGCACTCACCACACAAAGGACTCTGAGGGGTGTCTCAATCACAGTGGCTTGCCTATACACTGGTCAGAAGCCAAAACAGGCTCAGAGAAGCGCATTAGCATGCCAAAGGCCACAAGCCAGGAGCAGAACCAGGGTAAGAGAGCTGCAGTCTTTCCAACTCCAAGGTCTGGGCACTTAACCTGCACACTGAGCTTCAGAGGAGGGGTCAGAGGGGACCCAGCTCATCCAATCAGAGTTCAGAACACAGGTCAAAGAAGGGCTGGGGAATCACCATTACCTAGCAGCAGAAAGCAGACCTCCTGGAGACTCCCTGCCAAGTGTTTCTGGCCTTAACAGCCCCACACAGCATATGATTGGAAAGAACCTTCTGGAGATAATCCTGTCTCTGGGTGAGACCAGGGGCCTACTCAACTAGCATATGTGAGGCCCTGGCTTCCATCTCTAAAACGAACCAAAAATGCCTCCTCCATTTAATGGACTCTTTATTCATTAAATCTATAGTCTCCTGCTGAAAAGACAGGATCCAATGGAGTCTACTAGCCATATAGAAAACCAGCCCTAGCACCAGGTCCCTACCAGTCAAGATCTGGCCTCCAGGCTCCTGGCTCTTCCTCCTCATCCCTGTCACTAGGGCCCCATGTCACTACCCAAGACAAGGACAGTAAGGCCGTAGGTAGCAGGTGCAGTATTCACCCATCTGGTTGGACAAGCCCAAGGACTAAACCCAGAGGGTGGCAGATCAGACCATGCCTGGGAGCCCCCAGCCTCAACTCCCTAAGGAGGGAGCTGCCACCCAGGGCTCCCATCCAGAGACAAAGTAAGTAGTCTGTCAGAACTAGAGAGGCCTCAGAGATCACCACAGTCAACTCCCTCAGTGGCCATGAGACTGAGCCTGATCCCTGCATCCCCATCTAGGCAGAGCCAGAACTGGGAAGATTTGGGTCCACAGGAGAAGCTGATGTTTTGGCTGTCCCACTCAGATCTCACCATAGCCACTATCACAGCCACCCATGGCCACCACCACCATCATCATCACCATCATCATTATCATCATCATCACCATCATTATTATCACCATCACCATCACCACCATCACCATCATCATCATCATCACCATTATGACTACCATCACCATCATCATCATCATCATCGTCACCATCACTACCATCACCACCACCATCATCATCACCATCATCACCTCACTACCATCACCACCACCACCACCATCACTATCATCATCATCACCATTATGACTACCATCACCACCATCATCGTTATTGTCATCATCACTATCATCACCACCATCATCACCATCGCCACCATCATCACCATCACCACTATCACCACTGTCATCACCACCATCACCACCATCATCACTACCACTATTACCACCATCACCACAATCACCACCGTCATCATCACCATCATCATCACTACCATCATCATCACCACCATCATTTAATGTCTACCCCAAGTCCCAGGCTCTGCTCCAAGCTTACTTCTTAAGTCACTGAGTTGTCCCCTGACCACTCCCTCCTAATCTGTCACTCTAGTTGTCCCTGGCTGGCCTCCAAGGGTCAAGATGGCACACATACACCCCTAACCACAGAGAGAGGAAGAGCTGACAAGACATGGCAGATCGGCCCAGCCCTCTTCCCTGGCTGGAGCCCTGTTTCCTTCTGTTGATCTGTTTGGAGGTCAGCAGGCAGAGCTCAGATAGAGCCTGATCCCAAGGCCACTCTTGTCCAGAAGCTGGACCCAATGCCCTGACCCCAGTGCACCTGGTCAGATTGTAGTCCCTTCCCTCTCAGGCTCTGAAGAGTCTCACCTTCCCTGGTGTCAAAACAACCTCCTACCGGCATCCCCTGGCGTGCTCTCCCAACCCCAAGTCTCCCATTTGCACACAGAGGAAAGGTCTCTGGCCCTTACCTGTACACATCCACTGGCATCTCCACTCCTACCACACACACAGCGTGTGTGGGCTTCTTCAGCGACAGCCTCACGGCTCTCTGCGGAGTCATCCTGTGCCCAGCTCACAGCCTCCCAGGTCAGGTCAGCTCAGGAACCCCGTGGCTGCACACCCAAGCTCCCCGGCTCCTGGCTCCCCAGTTGCTCTCGGGGCACCTGGCCGCCAGGCAGGAGCCTGTGTTCTGATGGGCTGGTGCTCTCTCCTCCCTTTTAATTTCACCCTGCAACCTGGCGAGCCTGCCTGAGCCTGGTCCCCACCTCCTGGCTCCATGCCCAGTCACCTAAGTCACGGGCTATCGATCTAAGGGGCTGGGAAGGTGTTCTGAACCTCTCCGAGGGTCGGAAGGGGCCCTGGGAACAGCCAGGCTCAGTAGCTGACAGGAAAGTCCAGACAGCCCTCAGCACCCTCTAGCTTGGACTCTCCATGCTGGACCCCGTGGTTCATTTCTGAGGGCTGTGTGCCAGGCACCAGCTAAGCAACTTGCAGATTCTATTGCCTATGTATGTCAGTAGGCTCAGGGAGGCAGAATAGAGGGTTCAAATCCCACTCTGCCTCTCAGAGCCACTGAGAGCATCATGTGACTTAATGCTCCTTGTGGCATTAAACAGCTGCTACAACAGGGCCAATCCTGTTCTATGGGAGAACTCAGCACAGTGGAAGAGGGTTAACTCTGTCTTTTAAAAAATGCTAGCAGCTATTCTGGGTCTCTGGCCACATAGGTAGTGAGCAGTGAAGCCACTTGTGAACAGGTCTACCTGACCCACACACTGTATTGCGAGGTGACTTCCTAGTGCCCAGGTCTCAAAAGACACAGGTCTGTGGCAAGGTCTGTGTTGTTTTGGTATGATCATGGAGAACAAAGGCTTTCTCAAGAGGTCAGGTGTCTTGCCCAGACTTTCTGTGACTAAACAGCAAAGTCAGGGTCAGAGACAGTCCTTGTAGCCTGCGTCTTCTGCACTGTCGGGTACAGTTTCTTATTCATTTCTTTCAAATACGTATCTTTAAAATGGAAGACAAAGGCTAGAGAGATAGCTCAGTGGTTAAGAGCTCTGGCTGCTCTTGCTAAGGATGAGGGTTCAATTCTAAGCACCCACATGGCAGCGAACAACCATCTGTAACTCCAGTTCTAGGGGGTCTGACATCCTCTTCTGACTTCCAAAAGGTATGTGTCCCTCGCTTGGCTCTTGAAACAATTTTGTAAATTGATCTTGGTTTTGTTTGCTTGTTGTTTTTGTCACGTAGCAGCCTGGGCTAGCTTCAAATTCACTGAATAGCTGAGGATGACCTTGAATTCATGACCCTCCTTCTGAGATTACAGACATTTGCCACTACAAGGCCCAGTTGGTGGTACTTTTATGTTAGTGCTTGGGATGCCCAGGGCCTTGTGCATGCGGGGTAAGCCCTCTCTCACTGTCAGCATTTTTAATAAAATGTACTCTCTTGCCACTGAAAAAGAAAAGCAGATAGAAAAAGCTCTCAGCTTCTGAGCCCACTTAGTGATGATCTTGGGTTGCCCTATGCCCGTTGGACTGGTGGTGTTGGGTACCTGCTGCACTCGGCACCCCAAGAGAAGCAGAACAGATCAGGCTCCCTGCTCTGAAGACACCATGGTCTGGAGACAGACACCACCCAGAGGTAGGGGAGTAATGTGTAACGTCTGACCCTCCGTCCTCTGGGAAGAGGTGATGGTGCCTTGGCCCTGGGGTGTCATTGGAGAGAGGAGCAGGGCTCTGAACAAGCCTTGAAGATGCAGCTGGTGACATCTGCCAAAGGATTGACACGGCAGGGAGGAAGAGTGCAAGGATGGCTGCAGTTTGGGGCTCAAGCCCTTGAAAGGAAGGCTTCTTAGAGGGATGGAGATGGCTGGATACAGGTGTGAGTCAAGGGTTTGGCTATTCTGTCTGTGAACACTTGTTAAACATGAAGGGGCTATGGGTTTGCTGACTGGAGAGGTGACTGCTGGTGACATGTCCCTCTGTGCTGGGGACTAAGGGAGGGAGAAAGATTTCTCTGGAATCATAGGGCATGCCTCCTGAGCCACAGACACACAACCAAGAACTCCCCTGTCCACAGGCAGAGACAACAAAGACAGGTGGGAGAGAAGGAGGCCCTGCAGGGACGCCGCCAGCCGGTCAGGGTCCCTGCCTCCAGCAACTTCTAAAATGATTAGGAAGCCAGGAAAGAGAAAAATTGGCATAATTTTGTATTTGATTACATTTGATTGTGAGGGTCTTTCTGGAATGATCTCTATTGCCAACGCATCTGATTGTAAATGTTACTGACCTGAAAAATTCATTATCTCTAAAGGCATCAAGGATAAGCCTCAGTTTACCCAGAAAAACAGGACTTCAAGAGTAGCTTTTCCACCACCCCTGCCCCAAACCCCAATGAACCAGAACCCAAATCATTTTGTCTAATCCCATCTATTGATAAAAACTTGTCCATTTCCTATGAAATGTAATAAGGAATGTAAAGAGTAAGTTTCCAAAGAGCACATAGGTATGCTCTCACTAGAGAAGACCAGATGGATGGATGGATGGATGGATGGATGGATGGATGGGTGGATGGATGATGGGTGGGTGGATGGATGGATGGATGGATAGGTGGATGAATGATGGGTGGGTGGGTGGATGGATGGATGGATAGGTGGATGAATGATGGGTGGGTGGATGGATGGATGGATGGGTGGATAGATGGGTGGGTGGATGGATGGATGCATGGATGCATGGATGCATGGACAAATGGATGGACAGATGGGTAAATAGAGGGCTGAATGGACAGATGGATGAGTGGACTGATAGGAAAGAGGGAAGAAGAGAGAAGAGGTGATTGGTGAGGAGCCATTGTGAGGAGATGATGTCATGACTTGATGGGGACAGTGCTGACGATGAGGACCACCATGCTAGCAAACACAGCTCCCACTCTCACCCTTTGCTAGGCAGTTTGTAAGCCCCTCCCATATATTCACTCATCTAATCTTCCCAATAATTCCAGGTGACAGGTTCTGAGCAAGCCCAGAAGGCCAAGTTCAGACAAACCACAGCCTGGCTGTGCCCTTGGCCAGCTCAGGCAGGGCAGGTGCTTGGCAGGACATGGAGGCTTCTCCAAGGGGCCACTCTCAGGTGTGAGGGAAAGAAAGGCCCAAGGAGGGCTTCAGAGGAGTGGGCAGGAGTCGAGAGGAGGGTGGGAACTATTCTAATCTTATAGATGAAAGAATCGAGAGCAGACCCCCTCACCCATGGGCTCCTGTTGGTCCCCAGGTCCCTG